TTTTTCTTCACTTCTTCACTAAAGTGAAAGTAGAATGAGAAATTCACTCAGGGATAGTTATAGGTAGAGAAGGATATTCAAGTCTACAGGGACTCTGTAAGCCCCAGTGCCATCTTCCTAAGCTCTCAGTTCATCAGTATTGCAGTTATCTCCTGATCTAATTTCTCTACAGACCATTCCTTCCCTTCACAAAAGGCCACCCAGCATGTTACTCAAGGCATTGCTGCCAAGGCCGAGCATTTGAATACATTAATGTGGTAACCTCCTGGTATTTGCCAAATGCTGATGAAGCTCTGTGGAAGGCAAAGAGTTGTTGTCTGAAACTAACCCTACCTCATTAGCAGGAATATGTCCTGAGACTGCTCAAGCAGGCAGCCGAGTGTCCCATGGCACATAGTGCGCTCATCCAAACAGGTGAGAAATGACATCTCCGTCATGGGACAATCAACTGATATTGGATGTAGCCATGAAAAAAATATGGTCACTCAAAAACACTCTTCTTCTTTCAGCTGATGATCAACAGGAGACCGTATTATTCTCTTATTTCCAATAGTTTTGAATCAAGAATCTTTTATTTTCCAAGAACAGTTGTAAGTAAAATTCTCTTCTAACAGACATAGGGATTTTTCGAGCAATTTAACTCAATCTCTACCAGACTGTAGTAGTGAATCACCTTATGCATATTCTTTTACTGAGCTGAAAAAAACAAATAGAGGCATAAGAATTCCCTTTAGAAGATTTTCAAAATAAACTTGGCTATCAGATTAACATTCACTTTCTGTTCCTTGGTGTTCTTTACTCCACTGTATGGTTTGCCAAAGGGTAAAACTGTTGAATTTTCTTTCTACCTTGAATCTGGGCATGAGAAAACAGCTGGCTTGCATATGTTCTTCACTTTGGAATTTCATTACTAATATTTTTGAGACTGCCATGATTTTGAATGTTGCTGAATTATTAAATAATGCTTCAGGGTAATGCAGTACTTCTTGGTCTCCTTATTTAAAAATATGACAGTAATTTTATCAACATTTTTAACAGAAATTCATATGGAGGCCCAAGTAGCCAGCTACTAATCAGAAAAATTTATGACAAGCTGATGTAGGAATATTGATAGCTATCTATTTGTCAGAGTGCAGAAAAAAATAAGATTGAAACCATTTTAATAATGGTTTCCCCCTCAGGAAGATTTTAGTTGAATTTTATTTCTATTATCTATTTGAATTATTTAATAATCTGCTGGAGTCCAATTAAAAAGTTATAATGGATGACAACTATTTTTTTGGAAGAATAGGGAATCTCAGTTTCTACTGTTGTCAAAATTCACAGAATAACACAGAATCACAGAATGGTTGAGGTTGGAAGGGACCTCTAGAGATCATCTAGTCCAACCCTCCTGCACACGAAGGGTCACCTAGAGCACGTGGCACAGGGTGACATTCAGGCAGGTTTGGAAGATCTCTAGAGAAGGAGAGCCAAAAACCTCTCCGTCTGTTCCAGGGCTCTGTCACCCTCACAGTAAAGAAGCTCTTCCTCATAAGGAGACGGAACTTCCTGTGTTTTAATTTATACCTATTACCCCTTGCCCTGTCACATGAGAAGAGCTTGGCCCCATCTTCTTTCCATTCTCGCCACAGGTACTTATACATGTTGATGAGATCCCCTCTCAATTCTCTCTTCTCCAGGCTAAACTGGCCCAGCTCACTTTCAGTCTTTCCTTGTAAGACAGATGCTCCAGTCCCTTAATCAACTTTGTTGCTCAACACTGGACCCTCTCTAGAAGTTCCACATCCCTCTTGTTCTGGGGAGCCCGGAACTGCACACAATACTCCAAGTGCGGCCTCACCAGAGTTGAGTAGAGGGGCAGAATCCTCTCCCTTGACCTGCTGGCAATGTTCCTCCTGATGCAGGCCAGGATACCATTGGCCTTCTTGGCCACGAAGGCGCACTGCTGACTCAAGGTTAACTTCTTGTCAACCAAGACTCCCAAATCCCTCTCCATGGAACTGCTTTCCAGCAGGTCAACCCCTAACCTGTACTGGTGCCTGGGGTTATTCCTTCCCAGGTGCAGGACCCTGCACTTGTCCTTGTTGAACTTCATGAGGTTCCTCTCTGCCCTACTGTCCAATCTGTCAAGGTCCCTCTGAATGGCAGCACAGCCCTCTGGAGTGTCGGCCACTCCACCCAGTTTGGTATCATCTGAAAACTTGCTCAGGGTACACTCTATGCCCTCATCCAAGTCACTGATGAACAAGCTGAACAGCATTGGGCTGTGGGACACCACTGGCCACAGGCTCCAACTAGGTTCAGCCCCCTTTAAAACCATCCTCTGAGCTCTGCCATCCAGCCAGTTCTCAATCCACCTCACTGTCCAGTCATCTAACCCACACTTCCTGAGCTTCCCTATAAATATGTTATTGGACACTGTGTCAAAAGCCTTGCTAAAGCCAAGGTAGACAACATCCACAGTTCTCCCATCATCCATTCAGCCAGTCATCCCTTCATAGAAGGCTATCAGGTTCGTCAAACACGACTTCCCCTTGGTGAATCCATGCTGACTACTCCTGATCACCTTCTTTTCCTTTCGATGCCCAGAGATTGTCTCTAAGATGACCTGCTATGTCACCTTTTCAGGGACAGAGGTGAGGCTGACCGACCTGTCAGCTCCTCCCTCTTGCCCTTTTTGAACACTGGAGTGACACTGGTTTCTTCCAGTCCTCCGGCACCACCCCTGCTCTCCATGACATCTCAAAGATGATGGAGAGAGGCTGAGCAATAACCTCCACCACCTCCCTCAGCACTCTTGGGTGCATCCCATCTGGGCCCATAGATGTATGGGGGTCCAATTTGCCTAAGTAATCCCTAACCCAATTCTCGTGGACCAGCAGAAAGTCTTCCTCTCTCTTGATTCTCTCTCTTGTCTCCAGACTCCATAGTTCATGGGGACTGGCCTTAGCTGGAAAGACAGAAGCAAAGAAGGCATTTAGTAACTCTGCCTTCTCTGCATCCTCTGTCACCAAGGCACTCTCCCCATTCAGCAGGGGACCCAAATTTTCCCTAGTCTTCCTTTCACAGCTGATGCATTTGTAGAAGCTCTTCTTGCTGTCCCTGATGTCTGTTGCAAACTTTAATTCCAAATGGAATTGGCCAATGGAAGGTCTTGGCCTTCCTTGTTGCATCCATGCATTCTCTGATGATATTCCTATATTCTCCCCGTGTGGCCTGGCCCTTCTCCCACATTATGTACATACTATTTTTCTCATTAAGTTTACCCAAGAGCTCCTTGCCCATCCACACAGGTCTCTTGCCTGCCTTGCTCAACTTCATTCTTGTAGGAATGCATCAATCCTGAGCTTGGAGAAAGTGTGCTTGAATAATAGCCAACTCTCCTGGAGCCCCTGTCCTTCTAGGACCCTGGCCCAGGGGATTCCTCCAAGGAGGTCTCTGAAGAGGTCAAAGTTGGCTCCTCTGAAGTCCAGGGCTGCAAACCTGCTTCTTGCCCAGCTTCCTCCTTGCGGGATCAAGAATTCCTATGTTTCATGGGCACTGCAGCCAAGACTGCCCCCACTCTCACATTTCCCACTAGACCATCCCTGCTTGTGAGTATCAGATCTAGCAGCACCCCTCCCCTTGTTGGCTCATCTACCACCTCACCCCAGCAGTTATCTGCAATGTTCTGAAGGAACCTCCTGGACTGCCTGCTCCTAGCTGGGTGGCTATCCCAGCAGACATCAGGGTGGTTGAAATCCCCCCTAAAGACCAGGGCCTGTGATCGTGAGGCTTCTTACAGCTACCTGCAGAAGGCCTCATCCACTTCCTCTTCTTGGTCAGGGAACCTGTAGTAAACACCCACCACAGTGTTGTCCCTGGTGGTTTGTCCTTTGAACTCCACCCACAAGCTCTTGATCCCAGTTTGTCCTCCCTTAGGCAGAGCTCCATGCATTCCAGTTGCTCTCTCATGTAAAGGGCAACCCCACCACCTTCCCTTCCTGGCCTGTCCTTCCTAAAAAGCCTAAAGCCGTCCATGGCCATGTTCCAGTCATGAGAGCTGTCCCACCATGTCTCAGTAATTGCAGTGAAATCATGGCCCTGCAATTGCACATGCATCTCCAATCCCTTGTGTTTATTCCCCATACTGTGTGTGTTTCCATAGAGGCATTAGAGTTGGGCACCCAATGTGCTCTGGAGTTAGGCAGGTATGAGTGGCATGGCAAGGCATCGCCTTCCTTATCACCTGTTTCCCTAATGATCCCTGATGATTCGAGATAAAACTCGAATGTACTTTTGTCTTGGGTAGGCTTGGCGGTGGGGATCCTTGAATATCAAGCAGCTTCCTAGCAAGCCTCTTCCCTCTCGTGCCCTACGCAGTGGCACAGTACCTCCTGGAGAAACACATCCTTCTCAACCAGTGAGGTGCAATCTCTTCTTTTGCCATACATGTGTCAGGCACTTGATTTAGGAGAGCAAATTGCACCAAAAGGACTTGGGTATCTCTTTAAAGGCCAAGCAACAGTGAAAAGTCAGGGCAAGAACATCCCTGCAGGGTTTAAAGGCATTTGGACTGGAGCTGAGGTGTAGTCTGCACACACGGCTACTTCTATTTCAGTGTCTGCATGCAGGCATTCCCGTGAGCCTCTCTGCATTTGAATCTTTCTGCAGAGCCCTGGAATGGACCCAAGTCAAGGTGAGATCTTGCTGCCTGCAGGATGGTGTCTGCAGGCATCTGTGGTATCCCCAGGCAATGCAAGGACTTTCCTACTGCATCGCTAGTGGAGAGCAGTCCTGCTGTTTAGACAAGATAATTTTTCCCTAAACTCCTTCCCTGAGTGTGCTTGGAGACAGGATTGTCTTTTCTCATGTTCCTGCCATATTTAGACACCTAGAGAGGAGGCTGACCTCTGGGTTGAGTGAGTGCAGAGGAGGTGTGAAACTTGGCATTTTGGGGGCACCATGTGGGCCTTGGCCCTACTTGACAACTCCAGCCCTGGGCTGGCTGTGCCAGCATGTGCAGGGCATGTTGCAGACACGCAGGCAGGCTGCCCTGTGCCCCCACAGGCCCTGGCCCCTACCCACCAGCGCATCACAGCGTGGTTGTGGCATCACAATGGGTGTCAGTGGCACCGAGGTGGCCTCGGCCACCAGCACCCGCCCGTGCCCCAGTGCGCAGCTGTGCCAGCGCAAGAGAGCAGGGAGACGTGGGCTCCCGGCTGAGCGGCACAGCAGAGCACGGGGACAGCGGTCCCAGCGTTTCCCAGGCCTGCTCGGCTCCTGGCGCTGCTTGGCCTTGTCACCTGGCCCTCGGCAGCGCTATGGGGCAGATGTGCTGTGGTGTGCGGGGCTCTGCCGGCCCGGCTCCCAGCTCGCAGGCCTCGCCGCGGCCCCCTGCGTTTTTCAGGAGCTCCGAGCTCCTGCTGGTTGAGCGTGCGCAGGTGACGCGGCACCAGCGCACGCAGGGAAGGCACCTCCTACTCTTCCCCGACGCTGTCGCCTTCGCCAAATTCAAGTAAGCACAAGGACCTCTGCCCCTCTGGCCCAGACCACTGCCTCTGCCAGCAGCCCCAGGCCCCGCTCCTTCCCGCTCCTGCTTCTGCTGGAGCCTCGAGGAGCCCAAGGGTCCTTGGAGGGACCCCAGCATGAGCCCTTCCTCCTGGCCTTGCAGCCTGTGCTATGTGTGGATGCCTGGGCTCCTGACGAGCTCTCGCGCTCCAAATGACCTGCAGCTCCCTGCACAGGTGTCCCTGCGCTGCCAGGAGGGACGCACTTGCCCTTGAATGCAGGGTGGTGTGGGAGGAAAGGGGCTGGCTCCTGGATATGCCATCCTCATGCACAGCCCGTGCGCACCCTGCTGCTCCTGAGGCTCGGG